GCATAGCCATGATGAGATTGATTTGCAATTTAATTTGGTGGATAACAGAAAGGCTGCTGGGAAAATCTTGTGAGCCTATAAGAAATAAGCAGCCCTTATTAGAAGCGCCTTTGATAGGTAGTATAGATTCTTACAAAAACATCATCATTTTAATAGAAATATTTATAGACACAACTGTTATTGACTAATAACTTACTTCAAATACTAATACAAATTAGATACAGAAGGAGGAAAAAAACTTACGATTATCAGCTATTTTAAGTAATTATTCCTATAAATTAGATGTATTAACGATAACAGGTCTTTCCTCATTTAATAATTGGATCGAATTACACGAACATATAGGCTAATGAATAGGACTATAGGAGGAATTAAAAAGATGAATTGATTTGTTTTTCTATTGCAATTCCACAAGCATCCAAAAAACATAAACATTTCACTACTTGAAAATATACTTGAAAGGAGCATCCTTGAGTTTCTGGGACTCATGGGGTAATGAGCCATGGCTTTCCCCAAAGATGTCAATCCTCCATTACCATCAAGTGCTTCAAGAGCTTTCAGGCAACGGTCTGCTTCAACCAGAGCAGTAGCCTCAGGAGCAGTTGGAAATGGGAAGTTTCCAACCTGAAAAAAGCACATTGAGGATGATGTTAAAAAGTGATCATTCTGAGATTTGAATGCATATTAAATATAAAACAGCTAAGCCACAGTAAATATAGCACTTAAACCATAAGAACCACATGAAAAGGAAGGATGTATCAGTTCAACTAGCATGCTTGTAAACAAAACAAATTTTGATATAGCCTTTTAGTTAGATATAAAAAGGTCTTGAATAATAAAACCACACTAGGCATAACGCAAAGGAGAATGAAAAAGTATGCACCAAAGATCAAACAGAATTAGGTTGGAAGAGAAGTTACAAGATCATTTCATTGTATGTAATTATGTAACATAGAGACATCATGTCAATCTGACACAAGCCTTATACAAAGAGGTTAAAATCAATAAATGTAATGCACAAAAAACCTACCTTTTCAATAACCATGGATTTCATGAGAAGAATGACACCATCAATAGGTATTTTAGATATTTCAGCACAAGAAAAATCAGGGAGTATGTTACTAAAGACTGCATAAGAACACAGATGATAGCAATGGCCAGGCCCAGTTCTTCCAGCCTTTCCTGCACATTGAGCAGCTAGCAGATGCTTTACTTATCCACTGCACCTCATGAGTCTCCATACCATTGGTAGGTTTGTAGTTCTTCACCTTTTCTTTTTCAGTATCAACCACATACTTTACTCTAGGAATGGTTAAGGAGGTTTTGACAACATTGGTGGCAGCAACAAGAAGTCGCTCTCCCTCCTTAACCTCGTCAAATACACGAAGCTGTGCTACTGCAGGCAGCATTGCATATAGAGGCACAACACGCAGTGCACCTGGATTAACCGCTTTATCATCTTCCCTCTTCTTCTTAATGCAGGAATTGGATTGCTCAGACTTATCATCCACACTATTAGTCACAGTCTCTTTTCCTTTAGAATTAGATTTTAAAACATCTCTTCGGGCCAAAGCTTCACAAGCAGCCTTAAGGGAAGCAAGACTCCCATCATCCCCTAACGCATTAACCCGACTATCACCATTTCCCATGGTCTCCTAGTTCAATGCGTCATCATCCTCAACATCAATTTCTATGTCACTCTCTGTTTCTGAATCATACGAAGTATTTGACACATCCTCATCAAGATCACACTGATCTTCTTCATAAGAGCTAAACCTTTTAGTTTGCCGCTGGTCAGTTAAGTTTGCAGGGATTTCAAATGCTTCACTAATATCCTTCATATCAATGTTCCCAACTGATTTCATTTCTGAGGGAGTAGCTGCTTCAGTCCCTATATCTCTTTTAGAAGTATTAGCAATCAGCTCTCTGGAAGCCTCGCGCAACTTACTGCATAAATACTCAACTTCTCTCTGTCCAGTGGCAAAGACAAGTATGCCACCTGCTGGCAGCCTCTTATGAATTGCCATGACCTTTTTGAAGGCTTGACTTATATAATCCACAATCTCTGTTCTCTTTGAGAAATGTATAGTTACTGGAAATTGTCATGTAGGAACTTCTATAACAGGAGGAGGATTATGAAACAATCTTCTCCCAGAGATGAAGTCTTCCACTTGCAATGTATCACTCATCAGAACAAGTTTTAATGGAAATATCTAACTTTCAAGATTTACAGTTTTTCCTGAAAGCACCATGCGCTGCTGCTTCTCATATAAATTCTGTTATCAAGCAAGACAATATTGTAAGAGTAGAGGAGAATAGAAAGCTACAACCTGATTACCCATGAAAAGTGGAGGCTTTTAAATTTCACCTGACAAAGTCAAATTACACAGGAAAACATCCCAATTAGTATGTCTGTGATCAAGCTCCTTTCATGAGCCTCATCCAAAACTATGACAGAATAACGCTTCAATGAAAAATCATTTTGCCACATAAAATATGATAAAAACGATACCTTGACATGCGTCTCCCAAGTAATCACAAGATATTATCATATAGAAACCGCAACATTAGGATAGAGGGGTCATAAATTACAATTCCTGACACAAAAATTTAAAACTATAAACAAGAAAGTTAAATTCAATAAATTTTCAAACAAACATACTTGAGGAACTTGTGTGGTTTTACCACATCCAGTCTCTTCGCAATCAATAACAGTGGGATTCTCATTTATGGCTTCCATTATCTCCTGCTCCATCATAACAATTGGAAGATCTCTCCTTTTGTTTTCTACTTCATCTGGTCTTGACACATGCACTACAGTTGTGGCAATAATAACTCTCCGCAGAGGACTGTTTTGTACATCGTTTTTCTTGGCAAAATCACTTGGAATCTCATTTGCTTTACCCTGTCACATATGAAACCACCCGTCAGCAATATTTAGCCATTGACTATAAAATAACTCAGCTCAAGACAATAAACAAAAGAAAAAGCAGAGAAAAGTGAAAAT